CTCACTGATTTGATGATGATGATGATGATGATGATGATGATGATGATGATGATGATGATTGCAAAGAGACATCAGCAACACTGTGATGAGAAGAGTTATAATGCTGGCAAGCAGTCTGGTCATGGGAATGCTGTCGGACAGGAGTTTCATGTGGTTGGTGCATTCCCATATTAATATGATACTAGGCCAAAGAAGCAACAGTGAGTAGATCCTGTTTCCAGTAAAAGTGGCATCTAGAAATTAGGTATTCTGGACTGGTAAACCTCTTCTGATCAACTTGCCAAATAAATCCTGTGATAGGGTCACCTTAGGGTCACTATATATTAGAAATGACTTGAAGGCATGCAACAACTTGAAATGCCACCTGTTTTACAACATGTTCACCTTTGCCTCTTTGTGTCCTGATTATTGTGATCTGACATTTGTAAAAGAAAACCATGAAGTATCCTATATCCTTTCTTCCTATCTTCTTATTCATGATAATCCAATTGATGTTAGCCTCCTTGGCTCACCATAGCCTGATGAAAACAGAGTCCCGAAGGAACTTGGAAGCAATGGTATTTCATTTCATCTAGATATATAGCACTCTTACTGGTTATTCATTAACTCACTGAGGATAAGAATTCAACAATATGGAGCTCTGTAAGAATCCAACCAACTGAAGTACTGAAAGCTGGCAAGGACAAAAGCACCATTCCTGGATTGAATTCAAATGCACTCTACAGGGAAATGTTCTGGATGATTATTATTTGGGAAGTGTAAATGCTACAGAACAAAACATCATGCTTCATAAAGAAAATGAGTAGCCATGTGCCAATACGTGTATGTTTGTGTCTGTACTGAAAAAAACAACAGAAGCATGGAATGTAGATCACATTGTTACAAGCAAACACAGTGATTCTAGAATATTTTATTTATTTATTTATTTATTTGTTTGTTTATTTATTTAAAACTTTTATATCCCGATCTTCTCAACCTCTGTAGAGAGACTCAGACTGGCTTACCAGTAATAGAAGGCATTGCAAACAGGTTCAGATTAAGAGACAGGATATTTAGGACAAATGCATGAGTCATAAGTAGGGATGGACAAATCAATATATTTCCTGGTCTTTGTTTACAATAAATTTAAATATAACATTTCAGTTGTATACACATCATTTTCATGTAAAACTATTGTAGCCATTTTCCACTTAACTGTATTTTTGTTCAAAGACATAGCTGGATTAGCCTGAATCAGTATGCAATAGAATCTTGTATCATCTTTGAGACTAACTGAAAGATGTTGGTAGCTTAAGTTTTAGTAGATTTAAGTCTGTTTCATCAGAATGCATGAAGCATAGCACATAGAAGTTCCTAGGAGTGAAGGTTCCTAGCACTTCATTCCATGCATCTGATGAAGTAGACATAAGTCTAAAAAAGCTTATGCAACCAACTTCTTTATCTCAGTCTCAAAATGTCCCAGTAACTCTTTGTATGCCTTTTATAGGTATTTCTCCCTATTCTGAACACATTTTCTGTACTCAAGTGATTAACTCCTTTGAAAAATGCATAGATGGAAAAAGATAAAATATTTGTTTGTATCTGTATCGTAATTGTTAACCGCCATCAAGTTGCCTTTGACTTATGGCAACCCTATGAGAGAGAGACCTCCAAGTCACCCTTTCACCAACAACCCTGCTCTGATCTTGCAAACTCAGGGCCATTACTTCTTTGATTGAGTCCGTCAATCCAGAATATGATCTTCCACTTTTCCTACTGCCTTCAACCTTAACAAGCACCATTGTGTTTCCTTTTTATGATATGGCCAAAGTATAACAGTCTCGGTCCTCTTGGTTTCTAAGGAGAGATCAAACTTGATTTGCTCTAAGATGCATTAATTGGTCCACAGTATCACAGAATTTCAGCACCACATTTCAAATGAGTTGATCTTCCTATTAGTTTTCTTCATTTCACAACCATACATAGAAATGAAAAATACAATGGCATGATGGCCTGTATCACAAACTTTGAATTGGGTTGATTTGGTTAAAATTGCTATAAGCAAATATGGCCCAGAATCTATATTTGAAAAATGAAGCATGATATTCTCTAAGTCTTTACTGTTGCAGTTCTCCCACGTGGGCTGCTCAGCTGGTGCAACCAATTTTCCTCTCTGCTTCTTGTGACCAAGGTGAATGGATGAACTCTCTAGTTGAGCTGGAAGGCTGCACCTGATCCCCTAAATTAAAGCCAGATGGATGTTTGGAGACCAGAAAATGTTCTTGAACAGGGGTGACTTGCCTGCCACTGATTCTCAATCGTATATCGAAAACTTGTTTATTTTAAAGAACCCACCAGAACATCAGTTTATTTAATACTTTTTATTAATTCCATGTGCCTTAAGTGTTCATTATCTTTTTCAGATATCCATTTTGCATAGAGCTGAACAATGGAATATTAAATAGAAGGCAGTGTATGTGTGGTTTCAACAGTTTCTGGATTTGGAGGATATACCCGTTTACTGGCAGTCCCTGGCATTCCACAACTCAGCCCCATCTGTTAAGAGATTGTTGTGCCGACTGTGCAAGGTGATCAGGATAGCTGGGCAGATGGTGCTTTACCAACCATAAGCCTTGTGTGAAATGTGCAAGTCACAGCTTTCTGGCAAACATTACCAGGCTTGTAGACATGTGACCAATCTCAAATATTAGTCATAAAGACAGATGGCATCACCACAGCCGATTCAATCGTACATTAGCCATCTTATAATTCATTTTCTTAAAAAAAAATAAGTAGGGCTCCTGTTGGCCAAAAGCAATTAGGTACCCTCTAAATGTGAAACACAATTGTCATCATCCTTTGTAGCACCACCAAAGCTGAAGGGACTAGATCTGTAGTACAAAACATCTGGAGGGCACCATGAAAAAGGCTGGCCAAAGAATCAGTCAATTTTAACGCTACTACCTCAGCACATGGCAGTCATAGTGAGAACTAGAGTTATGTAGTATGATGTAAAGATGGCATACCCTCCAAATCTCCTGATTAATCCTGTGTCCCAGTTTCTCTTTGCTCCTCCCACTCCCCCCCCCCCTTTGTCAACAGCTTAGTTCATTTGATGTAAACTGAACTCAAAGAGCAAAAATAGTTTGCATTCAATTTGTTGAGAATTAGGGGAGGGGAGACATCCAAATCCTGCCCCCCCCCCCTACCATAGCCTCAGGCAAAATCAAACTGCTGTAGCCCCTCCTGCTTTCCCCGTTACTAACCTTTGCCATCTTAACTACACTCTTAAGATTCCTTAGTCACACTTGCCCCCATTTTCATCAGTTAAATGTTGGGGGTATGAAATGAGTGTCCACCATCATGTGGAAGAGCTAACTCTCAGATGAAAAATATTGATTTTCTTACACTTAGGGGTGAAAGAATCTTGCATACAGAGGCAGCCGTATACAAAGGTTTATAGGTACCATATTCATGGTTTTACGGTGCTTTCAAGGCAGCCCCCATGCCACTAATGGGCATGTGAACAGGTCCTGAAAAATGAGTCTGACAATTTGGTGAGAAATAACCTAGCAACAGATTCAGGTAAAAAAACTGAAGCTGCCTGTAGCTCCCTGAGCAGCAGTGAAACTGTAACAGTGAAATCAATGCATTTCATTGTTCAATAACAAGAAGGGAGGAGGGAGACTCTAACTGGCCCTTCCTATTTCCCCCTGGAACTGGTTGCTAAAGAAGTTGATATAAAATTCTCAGTAGAATAGCTGAAGCCTGAAAGCTGTGAGCATTCTCAAAAAGCTCCCAAATTGTTTTGAGTAGTCTCATGAGGATAGGATGAAACCAGGAGGTTTTTGAAGCTAAGCACAATTGCAGCAACATTTTGAAGTGTCTAATGAACCTGCTATATTAGTCCCTCAAGTGCTTGTTCATTGGCCTTATTCATAACTAGTTCATTCCCAAGAGCTAATACAGAATCAATGAAAACAATTAACTTGATAGGGATTACATTAAGAATTGAACTACATGTGACACTCAGCATATGCAGCCATTTTGTGTTTGATCCTCATTTCCTTTTGCCCTGCAGCCTACCTACTCCCCTCTTCCCAAAAATTGGGAACATCATGTCTAAGGATGCATCTACACTATAGAATTAATGGTTTGGCGGCACTTTAATTTCTATGGCTCGGTGAAATGGAATCATAGGACTTGTCTTTTTACAAAGTCTTTAGCCTTTGAAATTCAGGGTTTCAGTTACAAATGTATAACCCAGAATTATGCATTCATAGTTTATTCCTATTTACTATAGTAATATGAACGTATCTCTCCTTATGAACCATCTAGGACTTTAAAATCATCAGGGAGGGTTAGGGTTAGGCTCTTGATCCCACCTTCTTCGCTGGTACATCTGGAGGGGATGAGAGACAGGGTCTTCTCAGTGGTGGCCCCTCAGCTGTGGAACGCTCTCCCTAGGGATATTAAATTGGCCCCTTCCCTCCTGTCATTTCGTAAAAAAGTCAAAAACTGGCTCTTTGAACAAGCCTTTGCAAATGCAACATAATAGGTAAATATGGGACTACGGAACAGCTTAGACAATGTTACTGGAAAACGGGTTTAATAAGAAAACAGTGATGATTATATGTTTTTAATGGTTTTTGTATGGTTTTATATTATGTACTAAATGTTTTTAAACTGTATTTTATGTCTGTTGTGGCATCGAATTGCTGCCAACTTGTACTCCGCCTTGAGTCACCTTTGGGCTGAGAAAAGCGGGATAGAAATACTGTAAATAAATAAATATAGCTGTGTATTTAATAGTGTACAGAAATATTAGAAGTCCCCTCCAGTCATGGAGGTTATGACTGGGTGCTGTTCTTTTCCACTGTGATTTTTCCAGTTTCTTGTAAAGTGCAGATTTGATACTGTATTGAACATGAACATTTTGATACAGATCACATTTTTACAGCAGTAGTTTAACATAATTTTTAAAGTAAATAACTGAATCAAAGAGAGTTTATTTTATTATTTCCAGCAAATGTACATTGCATTTATTGTTGCTTTGTATATATCCATTTCCTATCTAGAAACCTGAATGGCAAATGAAATAAACTTTAACAACACAGAAGTCAGACAAACATATTTATCTGCTTTTTATGTATGATGCCTGCATCTCATCCAGTACATTTCTAATGGATTCCACACAAACCTCTCCTCTATGATCTTTCAGGCTGGCTTGCCTCCATACTTCATCAAAGCTTTCATCTGAAAGTTGGACACCGATGTTGCGCAAAATCCGTGCAATCTATGAAAACATATACAGGGCTATTAATCTCTGAAACCGGATTAGAAAAAGCATTCAGATATGGAAATAAATCATTCCTTGTAAGAATAAGAATGTCAGAATGACAGTGCAGAGACTCAAGAATCAATACCTACTTAGCAATGAAGAGCACTAGGTAATGTGACCTTGGCTTTACCTGTCAGCAAACTCTACTTCACTGTGAACTGCCCTGAGTCCCCTTTGGAGTTGAGAAGAGCAGTACATAAATACCACAAATAAATAAATAATAAATTATTGTGAAGATAAAAACATGGAAGTAAATGCATGCTGATGTAAACTCATTGGAAGAAAGATGGCGTATACGTAGTTATAATAATAAATGGCTACTAAACTGGATCTTTAACTGGAAGTTCATCAAACTTTGGCTCAATTGAACATTACTAATTCACTGGTTGAACTTCACTAGTTCACAGTCACAACCCAAAATCCATCCCTTTCCAACTTCAAAATTATCCGTACATACATACAGTATGCATTTATTAAGGAACACAGACCACAATTTTGAGAGGTAGAAACAGGAATTATGAAAACTGTGTAAGGATTGGTGGCTAACACAGGAGAAAAGTGGCAAGAAATTAATCTGGACCAGAGCTAAATTCCAAGTTTGATGCTAAGCTTAAAATAATGGAAAGGACAGATATTCTCAATACTTCTTTGTTGTTGTTGTTTTCTTTAATTGGCTTAATTGCTGGGAAACTACAGATCTTAGTCAGCTATATCTGTAATATCTGATGTGTGTGTGTGTGTGTGTCTATCTATCTATCTATATATCTTCACCATCCATGAAAGATGATGCAGCTGAAATCTATGAGCTTTTGGCTTTTGCCAGCAGAAAAACGTTTTGGAAGTCATAGAATATAGGTTTTATTTTTTAAATACTGTACTTTTACATGCTGGTAGCTTGTTTTCTATATACGAAGGCAATCTGCAGAAATCAATGACTTTGTGTAGGAAGGAGATCACTCTTACTTCCAGAATCATATGGATGGGATTACACGGTACTCCAGAGCTATCCTGGTCTCTACTGATAGGCAGGAGGTCAAGAACTAGTAAGACATTAGGTCCCACTGGGGAAAAAAAAGATGTATGCCTCTGTTGCCTTTCAGAGTGACATCATAAGAGTGGGAAGTACATGGAATAGCTGGGAACCAACCTGGAGAAGTTGCTATAGCCTTTCCGGCCCCTTTTCTTTTTTACTTTTTACTTTGTTAAAAATGAAAACATTTTTAAAAGCCCCAAATTGTTATATTGCTGTTACCTACCTCTTCTTTTGATCTTGTCTGGAAGATCTCCTTCTCATACACCCCCTTATTGCTGAAGATAGAGGGGTATAGTAAATTGTAAACATCGGCTTGATCACCATAATTAGTATTGTCACTGATACGGCGAAATCGAGGGGCGGGAATGTCTGAGCGAATGCTTGGAACACCGTACAATGGGTAACCTGTGCGAAAATACATGACAAATGGAGAAAGGAGTCAAGTGTTCATTTTCAAGCAATTGTTTATAGATCTATGTCACATGAATTCTTGTCTATTTGCATTCCATTGTTTTTTCAACCATTTCTTTTTCAATATGTTATGTCCCTTATAACAGCATTAGCTGCATTCCATACTGTACTTATTGATTCTGAGTCCTTATTTTCATTAAAATAGTATTTCTTTTGATTTAAAATATAATCCCTATATTCCTTCCTTGTCATGATTAAATTTCTGCATTTCCATATTCTGTTTTTCTGTTCATTATTCATTTCAAATTCTGTAGTTAGTGATGCATGATCTGATATTTATTTTATTTATTTATTTATTACTTGCACTTGTTAACCGCCGCTCTCAGCCCTAATGGGCGACTCGCGGCGGTGTACAAAAACATAGAAAAGACAATTTACAATGAATCAAGACAGCACAACAACACTCTACTACTACTATGATACCCATATTGCATGTGTTTGGATATTTTTAATCATTATTTCATTAGATTTTTTAACCAATAAGTAATCTATGCATGGATATTTTTGTATCTTTTAGAATAAAATATAGAATTGTATTTTTGTTAATTGACTCATAACTCTCTCTTAATTCCCACTTACTTATCTTAAGTGATTTATTTTGGTTTATATTCATATTGAAATCCCGTGCAACAATTGTTTTCCCCTCATAAAAGACTTGGAGCTTCTAAAATACTTTCTCCAGAAATTTTACTTGACCTTGGTTTGGACAATATATATTTGCTATTGTAAATTTCCTATTATCTAATTTAAACTTCATGAATAAATATCTCCCCTCTTGGTCTTTAATCTGATTCAGAATCTCAACATTTAGATTCTTGTTCATTATTATAGACATATCTCTAGCATTATTAGTTCCTCTAGATTCTGATCTCATTTCCCATACTGAAGAGTTCAAAAGTGGGGGGTTTTTTGGTCTCATTTTGCTTTGTGCGATTCTTGGATACACATTATCCTTCTTTCTTGGCTAAGTCCATTAACCTACACCTTTTAATATCTGATGCCAAACCATTGGTGTTTAAAGACATCAATTTAAACTTTTTATTCATTCTCTTTCAAAAACATTTTTTTCTGTGCCCATGTATTTTTCTGTTACTTGTGGCTCTAGGATTGGGCCTTCAGAGAAGAACAATAGTGCAATAGATGAACTGGAATTTTGTGCAATGACTACTGGAATGATGGGGATTAAGACTGCAGCTAGCGTGGTTTTATAGTGACTGAAATGTTTTTAAATGTTTTAATGTAATTTAGCTTTGTTTTTCATTTAATTTAAATGTTTTTAATCGTATTTTGTTATTAAGACATTAAATGATTGCCTATCTGTAAGCTGCCTTGAGTCCCCTTTTGGTAGAGAAAGGTGGAATATACATACAGTAAATGAATGAATGAATGAATGAATGAATGAATAGTGTTAAACAGTCTGTGCATTCTTTCAAAATCATATTCTCGATTTCCAATTTTGTTACTTTCCTTAGTTTTTTCCAATTTTGTTACTTCCCTTAGCTTTTTTCAGACCTGCCGAGATTCCTGATAATGTTAAATTTCTCCTTCTCTGTCTATCACTCTGCTGAGCTAACTGAGTAGAAAGTTATTTTATTTTTGCTTCATTTGCATCTACTTTCTCGTATGCATTATCTGCAGTTTTCTTAATAGATTTCATTTCAATACAGACTTGTTTTATCTCTTCCTGAAGAGTTTTGATATCTTCCCTTATATTTTTCCATACTAAAGGGTATTTCTGTTAGCTCTTCGTTTCTCGCCATTTTCTTTTATCCAGCTGTTTATCTTAGCCTCCCAGATTTGTTCAAAGAGGTGCACACTCTTACATTGTCTGTTGAGCTTTGTTCCTGTTCTGGTCAGGCAAGCTACTTTGTCTGTTATCTGTTATTTTTATTTTGTTTTTCTTCTTTTTATGGGCTATAACTCTTAACTTTCCAGGAGAGGATTGTCGGAGTATCTTATCTTGTTTGACACATGTGCTGCTCCTACATTTTCTATGCAGTTCCTATGGAGCAGAGTGGATGTGGGGAGAGCAGTTTGCTGGATGGGGGGTATAAGTGGCTCAGTTCCCTATTTAAGGCTGTGCCCCCTTTTTGTTCTTCCTCTTTGAATCAGCAATAATAACATTACCACTCTGTTCTCTTTTGGTCAGACTCACGTGGAATACCGTTTCTAGATCTGGGCAAAACAATTCAAAATGGACATTGACAAGCTGGAACATGTCCAGAGAAAATGGTAAAGAGGCTGGGTACTATGCCCTATGAAGACCAGCATAGAGATCTGGGCATGTTTAGTCTAATGAAGTGTGGTCATAGAATCATAGAATCATAGAGTTGGAAGAGACTTCATGGGCCACCCAGTCCAACCCCCTGCCAAGAAGCAGGAAAATCACATTCAAAGAACCCCCAACAAATGGCCATCCAGCCTCTGTTTAAAAGCTTCCATAGAAGAAACCTCCACCACACTTCGGGGCAGAAAGTTCCACTGCTGAACAGCTTTCACAGTCAGAAAGTTCTTCCTAATGTTCAGGTGGAATATCCTTTCCTGTAGTTTGAAGCCATTGCTCCATGTCCTAATCTCCAGGGCAGCAGAAAACAAGCTTGCTCCCTCCTCCGTATGACTTCCCCATGTTTAAATATTTAAAAAGATGTCATATTGAAGATGGAGGTACCTTTTTTTCTGCTGTGCCAGACTTGAACACAGAACAATGGATTCAAAACACAGAAGATAATCCACTTGGAACATTAGGAGGCTCATCTGGATAGCAAGAGCTGTTCAGCAGTGGAATATGTGGAGTGTAATTGTGTCTCCTTCTCTAGAAGTTTCTAAACAAAGACTGGATGGCTTACTTTTGAATGTGTGTTCCTGCATGGCAGGAGATTAGACTGCATGGCCCTTGTGGTCTCTTCCATGTCTATGACGCTGCTGTAATTTTGGATAAGTTCTATAATTGCAGGCTGGCCAAAGCAGGCTTGTATTAGCAGATACATGGGGGGGGGGGGTTCCTTTGTGATTTGTGCTTAGTATGTGTATGCATAGGATGAAATTTTATTTTATATATTGTGTGGTATAACCTCACAATTCTTACTTAAGAGCAAAAACAGTCTGGTTTTTTGCACAGTTGATCCATTGTCCAAGAAACATTGTACGAAGGACATTTCAGTCTTGTCTATGTATGTGTTAGGAAGACTATGGGTTGGCTGTACAAATTATATATGGTAGGTATTTCCTGATTTGCAACAAAAGAGATATTAATATTTTCAGAAAGCACTTTCTATACACCCAGTTGCTATCCATGATTTCTCAGCCAGAAGCATGTGTAACTGCTCCCTGGACTACTGCTTAGAACATGACAGGCATTGCAAAACAACATGGTACCAAACGTGCACTTGGATTTACTTACACGATTGTGGAATGCCTCCAGTAACTGCATTATATTGAGAAGAGGTTGTGCGATAGTCCGAAAATACACGATCAGTTGGTCTTGAAAGTGTTCTAGGTGTCTTCTGTGGACTACCTGGTTCCAATGACACTATATCTTCCTGCCTGAGTACAGCATCTGCATCTGCGTTGGTCTCTGCACCTTCTGGTGGAATGAGGTCAGTGGGGCCTGCTCTTTTACCTACAAGAAATGAACAATAACAAAATGTTTGTCATTTTCACAAAGAACAAAGAAAAGGAAGGTTCTTTTAGCAAATATGGCACTACACAGTGTAAAAATTACTCTTGTCATTTTAAAGTTTCCACAAAGGGGACCTAAGGAAATGATGTGCAAATTCAGCCTAAGGGCTTACATGGCCTCCAGAAACCCCAGGGTGACCCACTTATCTTCATTCTCAGTGTTTTTACTTAAAAGATCCCTTGAAACTTCTCATGGATGCACAGGCAATTTTATTCTATTTTAAGCCTAGAGGGCAGTCTTTTTTCAAAAAAGGAAGTGACCTTTCTTCATTCTCAAGGGCCTGAAACCCATGGTGATGTAAAGCATAATAAAATTACAACTTCCCTCACAATAGAAGATGATAGCTGTTTTTAAAAAGTGTGGGGTAGGTGTAGTTCCAGAATATAGGCAGTTGCCTACATCTGCCTAAATCCAATTGCTAGCTCCAGTTACAGAACATTCATTGATAGAGTTGCCATATTCCACTTTCTCAGAGGAAAGCCATGTCAGTCCTCCTCTGAATAAATCCTGTCAGGCAAACCCTCTGATATGTTTGCTTTAGGGCTTCCATAACTCAAAAATGCCTCAAAGGAAGACAACATCAAGCACTTGCCTTGAGTAATAATTTTCTCTTCATACTCCTGAAGGGGCATTTTGTCTTTCCAGGTAAGGAAGTTCACAAATTCCAGATAGTTTATAAAACCATCTTTATCCAAATCACAATAATCAAATAAAGCATCCAGAAGCTCGTCTTCCAATTTCAGGTTGAACTGAATGCAGGTTTTTTTCAAATCTTCCCTGCTTATTTTCCTGTCACCATCCTAGTTAAATAACATAATAAAAACTGTTCAAATCAAAAGTATGATTCTAGGTTGCCTAAACAAATTATCAAATAATTTAAGGAATTAGATCCTTGAGTTTAAAAAATCAAAACTAAAAAAAAAATAGTAGAACAGAACATGACTTTGCAAAGATAAAATACAACTGTGGAGTAATTTAAAAAGACCAGAAAGTCCCAGAGCTTGTTACTGTTCTTTTTTTTCTTTTCTGTTTAGATCAATATATGTTTTGTTTATGCCACAATATTTTCAATCAGATCCGAATATGATCAGAAAATTTCCATACCAACTCCCCAGGTTGGTTTATTTTAAGCCAGTATAAAATCAGAAAGAACATGAACAGAATCTGGGCCTTTCAATCAGTCTACATGTTGCCTGAAATAACAAAATTGCTTAAATTGGAGGACATTTCTCAAAAAGAGTTAATGTAAAGATAAAATACTATACCGAACAGATCCAATGACAAAGATGTATTCTTATGTCAAAGTGGGTTGTAACAGGTAGTGAAAGATAATATTTAACATGCATACATTTACCTGCTGAATCTACTTGCTAAAACCTTCAATTCTACCACATGCTGCTTAAGTTACAGTCCACTCTTTTTATATCGGATTCCATAATCACGGATTCAACCATTTCTAGCATTAAAATCCCTCCCATTTCAAAAAGTAAACTTTGATTTTACCATTTGATATAAGGGATACAATTTCATTATGCCATTGCCTATAATGGACATGAGTATCCATGAATCATGGTGGGTCCTGGAACAAACACCAGCAGATGCCAAGAGCCCATGATATTTTATTTAAAAAATTCCTGTGATTTTAGACTTCATTGCACATTTCCTACAAGTACAAGTGCATTCCATGTGCTATTGCCACTGCAAGTGAAGATTAATATCTGCAGGTGGAAGTTGTTATCTGTACATCTCCAGTCTTACACAAAAGTTTCCTTCTTTGTTAAGAAATATTTATGACAAAAATATTTTTGTGATTGAAGCACAACACTGACAACTGACAGGTATAAATACTTAACACAGCATTTAACACAGCATTCCCAGGCAGTGCACATGACATCTTGACACAACACAAACCTTATCATAATGTCGGAATGCTTGTAATAATGAGTCAAAGTTGTGGTAATTAGCTTTCTTCAAATTCTGTCGAACTGCAGTGAAGATAGCTCGCTCTCTGTCTTTACCACGAAGGTATTCACTAGGAGGCCTGTTATGAAGAAGGTCCCCAACACCTATGCAAGAAAAACATGTAATTGAAGCTTGAGTTGACCATGTTTTATTTACTGTGTGGCTCTTCACAAGGCCCTTCACAATCCCAGCAGATCCATATCACCTCTGTATCAAATGGAGACAGGAAATAGGTCTCGCTGATATAATTCTGCTACTATTCATTTGTTATAAGTTATAGACCCCACTTTCCCATCATTCTATACTCAAAGCCGATTAAATAAAAACACTGTGTTATAATAATGAAAAAGAAGTGGAAATCAGAGGGCCCTTCAGCTTTCCTTGCTGTGAGTTATGCTCACTAGGCCTGATGGAACTTGCAGCCTAACAACAAACAATTTCCATCATTACAACAAAAGAAGTGATCAAAATTTAATAAAAGCAGTGTAAACCATCAGAAACAAATAGAAAGCATCTGCATAAAACATACACAACTCAGGGTTACATTTTATAGTATTAACACCTTAAAAGTCTGAGGGAAACTTGTGAGATTTGGTGTGCCCACACAGGAGAGAAAGAAAAAGAGCAGTTGCTTCTATATAATCAAGTGAAATGAAACAACAACAACGAAAAAGCTCGTAAGACAAAGGAGGAGACAGTACAGAGCCATTTCTTATATACTTGCCATATTCCTCAGGATGAAGAAGCACTCCAAATGTATGGTCTGGAGGAACGTTGAGGGTATCGGCTATGCTGCACATAAAAAGAATCCATTAAATAAATGTTTGATTTTTCACCCAAAGCTTGAAAGATATATATGTCTGTCAGTTCACCGCTTCTATTTTAAGTTTGAAGATTACAGACAAGTGATGAAGACATTTGGTGAGAGTTCGTCTAAAACGTGTTCAACTGGGACTTTGTGACATAAATCAAAGCAGCCAACACAGATCATCATTTTCTTTTACAACCTATTTTCTTTGAGTACACAGTAATAACTGTCAAAAATATCGCACTAAAGGCAATAAATATCTCTTTGATCATGGTGCTTATATTTCTTGGAGGGGGTAGGAGACAAGAACAAGACAGAGTATGAACCCCAGCAGCCTAAATGAGTTATTTCTTATTTAAAAGATACAAATGCACATGTAGAGTTATCTTCATGTTTCTGTCAAAAGAGAGATATTGTTCTCCCAGACATGCTAAGTTCATGTGACAGCTTAGCAAAAGTGAATATAGAAAATGGGGAAGGAAAAATGCATTGGCTAAAGCAAATATAAGGTACATGTAATTCTCCAAAGGTGTTTTGGCCTACAACTCCCAAAAGTCCCAGCCAGTTTACCAGCTGTTAGAGTTTCTGGGAGTTGAAAGCCAAAACATCTGGGGACCCACAGGTTGAGAACCACTGATCTAGAGAGTTACAGGACAATAGTCTGTGGAGGCCCACATGTCCTCCATCACTAGCCAAGTGGCACAATATTCATTAGAAAAATATTCAGATCATTGTGTTGTTTAAGCAGCTTGGTGATACCAATGTCTTGATTTTTAGAATCACCTGATTCTAAAAATTCTAAAAACTAAAATTGAAGACTAATATATCCGATTAATGGATTCATACAGTGCAGTGGACATGTATTCTACTGACTCTAAATTAGAGGGGTAAAATGTCTAAAAGTTTTTCACTGCATTGGCTTACTTTCCCAAAAGATCCTCTACATAGCTGTTGCCTCTTTTTGCGTGCATCTACACAACAGAATGAATACCGTTTGACACCACTTTAACTGTCATGGCTTGGTTTTATGAGATTCTGGGATTTGTAGTTTGGTGAGGTATGCTTTGGTAGAGAACCCTTATAAAACAGCAATTCATTTGATTCCAAAGCACTGGGCCATGGGAATTAAAGTAGTGTCGAACTGATTTAATTCTACAGTGTAGATCAGGGGTCGGGAACCTTTGGCCCTCCAGGTGTGGTGGACTTCAACTCCCACAATTCCTTGAGGCTCGGCATTCGCCCCAAAGGCTTACCTTGGCCCAACGAGGTTTGTTTGGCTCTTTTTCATGGAGGACGGGCAGCAAAGGGGGAGAGACGAGCGTAACGTAGCTGTGCAGATGGCGAGGAAGGATGCGGAGCCTACAGACTGGCCTCGGAGGGAGAGAGCGGGCGGAAACCCCTGCGGGCAACGCGCCTCCTCGCCGCTTAAACAGCGCAGAGCCCTTTCCCTCCAGCCTTCGCCTTCCCTTTTCCCCGACAAGCTCTGCACGACGTCACTCAGCCGGCGTCGTTGCTAGGGAGGGGGTCCATGCGGGGCGGTTGCTACGGGCCGAAGCGGCGAGGAGGCGCGTTGCCCGCAGGGGTTTCCGCCCGCTCTCTCCCTCCGAGGCCAGTCTGTGGGCTCCGCATCCTTCCTCGCCATCTGCACAGCTACGTTACGCTCGTCTCTCCCCCTTTGCTGCCCGTCCTCCATGAAAAAGAGCCAAACAAACCTCGTTGGGCCAAGGTAAGCCTTTGGGGCGAATGCCGAGCCTCAAGGAATTGTGGGAGTTGAAGTCCACCACACCTGGAGGGCCAAAGGTTCCCGACCCCTGATCTACACTGTAGAATTAAATCAGTTCGACACTCATGGACCAGCCCAGAGCTCCCTGTCGGCCGTCACCCTCCAGCTCCTTCAAGGTCAATCCAGTCACTTCAAGGATGCTATCCATCCATCTTGCCCTTGGTCGGCCCCTCTTCCTTTTTCCTTCCATTTTCCCCAGCATAATTGTCTTTTCTAAGCTTTTCTTTCTTCTCATGATGTGGCCAAAGTACTTCATATTTGCCTCTACTATCCTTCCCTCCAATACACCCATAGTCCCCTGATACTTTGATAACATTAATTTAAACATTGCCCATGACCTGAAGCCACAAGTCACTGGATTCAAATCACTCAGAATGAGAAGGGAAATGCTGTGTATCATCCTGTCCCGTGACACACTGTTTGTTTCTTGTATTACTGAGAAATAAAGGATGAGATGTAGCTTAACACCACCAGTTTTATGGTTCCCTGGTACAAGCAGCACAAGTGTTATCATGATTACCCTTTTATTCCTTTTAAGTGGCAACAAGAATGGCCAATGCTCAAAATATGTAGATATAAGACGGTGGTTGCATTAGCAGGAAGAGATCCGTAATACATTCTATGTTAACCCCAGAAGATTTATTTCATGCATAAAAATTGGTTTTCTACCATTTTTCACACTCCCAGATTTGACTGCTTTTTATTTTCTTCTATATTGGCAATGCTATAATCATAGCTCAGATAACTGGCAAACATCAAAGCAGCAGTAGAATTCTTAGGGCAAGTTGCTAATTACATTAATTACATACAAACTGTTGTGACAATCTGTATCTGCTGGCACCACGCATTATGTGGCATACTTTCACAGAGCTCCGCCAGTTACTATCACCTCAGCTTCTTGCTGTCCAAGGGAATATCTCAAATAGGAGCCAAAGCAATATGAAACCAGGTGGCCTGCTATATAATGAGACATGCTTGTCATTTGAATTTTTCAGGTTACTCATAGCTTCTTCTGAGAAAGGGTATGGAAGAAACATAGCTGGTTCATTTCTAAATGATGGAGAAGGAAAACTAAATATTAATTTCTGATGGAAGTTCAATTTTGAAAACTCTGCTTTAATTCACTTACGGATCAAGCACCTTTCCAAGTTGAGGCTGAAATTTTTCCTTGAAATCATCACTTATTTTGGACACTATTTTTGCTGACTTCTTCCTGAATAATTTAGAAGAGAATAAAAAAAAACCTATTGCACATCAGCATATTATAAACTGGGGGGAAAATAGGATTTTATTTGCAAAACTACTTTTCAGGATGTTCTGGCTGTTGGGGTTCAGCCTGAGTTTGAACTTGAACCTGATTCTCTGTTTGTTCCTCCTGATGCTAATGAAAGTATATTTACTGATGCTAATGGAAATGTACCTTTTGATGCCAATGCTCCTGAAATTAGTGAGGAAGAAACTGCTGTAGGTTTGGAAAATGCCAATGTTCCTGAAATTAGTGAGGAAGGAACTTCTGTAGATTTGGAAAATGAAAGTACCAGTGTTCATGAGAATGTTTCAGAGGGAGACCTTGAACTTACCCTCCCTTCTGCACCTGTTAACTGTAATGACAACAGAAGGGGCCAAATTTGGGAAGACAGAAGTAAATCACTCAGTTTGCGTCGATCCTCCCGAATTCAAGAATTAAAAACATTGGCTTCAAAAAAGAAGGGTGGTTCACGGAACCAATTCTTGAGTTTTAATTGCCTTACGCCGGGCTGACTGTCTCAGTTCAGGCATCGTTTCAGAATTGATGAAGACCTTGGCAGTTCTCCCGGTTCCCTGGCCATAGTTTGGGAAGATTTCTAGGATATCAAGTACGGTTAGTGGATTGCTAACAGGTTCCAGTATTTTACAGTGAGGCTTTTGGTTTTGCTTTGTCCATTTAAATTCATGTTTGCTGATTTTGCTGTGGCTTTTGACTTGCATTTTTCCTTTATTTTGTAACCATTTTCTTCAATAAAAAAGGATTGTTTTTCACAGCCAAGTGTGGTGGATAGTTATCTTAGGGCCTCGTTCCCTGCTCTGGATTGCAACACTGGCTCAATTTATGTGTTACATGCCTTACACTTCAGATGGTGGAGAGAAATATTTTACTGCTTCAGGACATATTGTGTCATACTAGTTCTGGCTATTTCAGTTGACATTATGACATGTATGGATGCCAGAAAAGGTAGAGATGTGGGCTACCCAGCTCTATTACTCCTTTCCACCAAAAGCCAAGGATGCTGTTTAGGTCCTGAACCAATGCCTGTCATCAGTAATGGACTGGATGAGGGCCAACCAGCTGAAACTAAATCCAGACAAAACAGAAGTACTCCTGGTAAGTTGTAAGGCGGATCAGGGTATGGGATTTCAGCCTGTGTTGTATGGGATTGCATTCCCTCTGAAGACACAGGACTGCAGTCTGGGGGTGACCCTGGACTCATCGCTGGCCCTGGAACCCCAGCTGTCGATGGTAGTCAGGAGCGCCTTTGCACAGTTAAAACTTGTGTGCCAGCTGCACTCATACTTGAGATACCATATCTAGTCCATGCCCTAGCCACATTCCATTTGGACCATTGCAATGCTCTCTACGTGGAGCTGCCTTTGAAGATCATTCAGAAGCTACAATAAGTTCAGAGACCAGCAGCCAGGTTACTAACTGGGGCTCCATACAGGGAGAGAACTACCCCCAATGTAGTGACAGCTCCACTGGCTGCTGGTCTGCTAAATACAAAGTACTGATCATTAACTATGAAGCCCTAAATGGTTTGGGTCCAGGCTATTTGTCCAATCACATTTCCCTATATAGACCATTCCATGCACTGTGGTCAGTGGAGGAGGCCCTGCTTTCGGTTCCACCCGTCACAAGTGCGGTTGGTAGGAATGAAAGAGGAGGCCTTCTCTGTGATGGCTCCCCGTCTCTGAAACTCCCTCCCCAAAGAAATAAAAATGGCCCCACCTTCCTCTCCTTACAAAAAATCTTGAAACCACATCTTTGCACTTTGGCATATGGAGAGGAGGAGGACTAGGATACTCTAGATCAATTGGAATGTTGGCTGACGTACCTCGTGGCCACGTGGGTACACTTCAAGAACAACTATAACAGCCAATTTCCATTTATTTTAATTGTTTTTATCATTTGAGATGTTTTAATGTTGAGTTGTGATTAGTGTGACCTGTTTTTATGTGATGATTTGTATCTTGTTTTTCATTTTGACTTCAATTTTTTATACAATAAGTTCACTGTCATTATTATGTTTATTATATTGCATTATCGTAATTGTTTTTTACATTTGTCTAAGCATTGAATGTGTTTGTCATTTTGTATTGTAAACCACCCTGAGTCACCTTGGGGAGACAGGGTGGTCTATTTATTTATTTATTTTATTTTATTTGGAGCATTTATTAACCGCCATTCTCAGCCCACTCGGGCGACTCACGGCGGTGTACAGTACAAAAGGCAATTCACACAAAGACAAGTACAACAGCATATTAACCATACAACAATACAACAGTTAAAATTACACTAACTAATCCGCTTCGTCTCGTAATAGAATCGTGACCAATCTCGTATTCCTTGTACCATTCCAGTCGTCTTTACCACATTACTATAGCACTTAATTAAATGCCCTCTCGAACAGCCACGTCTTGAGGCTTTTTCGGAAGGACAAAAGAGAGGTCTATTTATTTATTTATTTTATTTTAATCTATAAAATTATTATTATTATTATTATTATTATTATTATGTAGTTTCAAATATGCGCTATCAGAAATGATTAACTGTAACATAAACAAGCACTGTCAACCCTGTAACTTACATTTGCAGATCATGGAACCAGCGTAAAGTTCTACCAACATTTCGTCCATCATTAAAATGGGGTGTTTCCTTTCCAAAAAGATCAAATCTATGGAATGTAGATGAGTCATACTTTCTATTCATTTGTTCCCCTGCAGAAAATAAGAGTCATTATTTATTTTGTGCAAATGAGTTGGGCAGTGGGCCTTTAGAATCTGTTAGGCTTTGGTTCCAGACTCCTTTACCAACCCACATGAATAGAAAAATCTGTGGATGCCTATCCCATTACATACAAATGGCATAATTTATATAAAACTAGCCATCCCCTGCCACAAACTGCGGTGGCCCAGTCTGTGTCTATGTGTTTTGTGTGTGTATATTTGTGTATCTGTATATATGTGTGCTTGCATGCATATATGTGATTTTGTCCATGCGTTGTAACATTTTTTTTTTGTTTTTTTGGCTTTTTAAGCATCTTCTGCTGTGTTTTCCAGTGGTTTTATGAGTGGTGTTCACTCGTTGGCCTGTTAGGTATATTGTGTCCAAATTTGGTGTCAATTCATCCACTGGTTTTTTGAGTTATGTTAATCCCACAAACGGACATTACATTTTATTTATATAGATAGCAAAAGTTATTATTTGCTTTTTTTTAAAAAAATTAAGATTTTCAAGCTATGAACTATTGAATCTGTGGATACAGACGGCCAACTTTACATTACACAGGCAGTCCCCAAGTTACAAACATCCGACTTACAAACAACTCATAATTAAGAATGGGGGTGAGACAACAGGAAGTGACACATCCCTCAGGAGGAAAATTCACTCCTGAAAGAGCAGTCATGAGGGAAAGGTGTTTCAATTGAAGCTTTCCTATCAAACCTTGTGGAACAACAAGCCAAATTTATCAAAATCCAATTATGACAGGAACAGTAAGTGAGGTGAAATCTTCTGACAACAAAACGAACTCAACAGGGGTGTTAACCCTTCCCTATGCTATCAAAAGCTTGTGTTTGTGCCTGGAGTTGCACTTAAAATGTTCCTGTTTTGACTTACATACAAATTAAACTTAAGAACAAACCTACAGAACCTATCTTGCTCATTACTTGGGGACTGCCTGTATATTAACAATTTACAATAACAATATTACGACACAAAGCCAACTCCAGACTATTATGAAGCTCATATAAAATCATGCCAAAGCATTGTGTAGTGAAAGTGTGGTCTGTTTTCTTTCCCAGCCACCTCAGCTAATGCCTAGGGGAACATTCAAGAACATAAGAAGTTTCCCTTATTTGTGGTAGGAGAAAGAGTGAATGTTTCTAGACGATCTAAAGTGGTATAACGGGGGGGGGGGGGGATTATAGTATAGGAGCTCAGCAGGGCAGGCCCTATAGCTGTGCTCCCAAGAACAAATGCAGGCAGCTCTAATGATTCATAATATATGAAACCCCAGAGAACAGCATGATGTGAAATTTAATAGGATCAACTGACAAGAACAGCAAATTGGGGAGGATTTTACAGTGGCTAGTAGTATGTAGGGCTTTATTTGTGGAGACTTATATCTCTTACAATTCATTGAGTTCAGATGTATAACCCTCAAGCCAAACCTGCCTCACAAGGTTATTGCAGCAATAAAGCAGCATGAGAATTATAAAAACCCTTACAGCCATATAAAGCATGCTAAGCTCAGTGGAATGAGGGTGAATACAAATGTGAATCAGCCTGTCATTGTACATGCTGGTAAGGCTTTTTGTTTATAACCAGATTTTAGGACAATCACATTATTTATGTCAAATGAAAAGTGAACCCATCTCTGTGTCTTTTTAAAAAGAATACTTGAAGAATTGTACTAGGTTGAGAAAGTTTTTTGCCAAAGACTATACATCCAGTTTTCCAAATCGCCAAACTTACAACAATGACATATACTGTTCTTCCTCTTAACATCATTAGTTTTGATGTGACAAAAAGTACCAGAACTGCACTTTGTCGGCTTTCTAACCCCACTACACCAGTTTATAAAAGCTATTGTTATTGGCAATAACACAACAGAGTCCATATCCCCCATAATCCAAAAAGGATATTCCTAATGAGAAGTTAAACATTTTTATTTTACTTATTATTATTCCACATAGCAGGATAATATGTGCGCTAGAAATAATATATTTATACTAATATTGATGTCTATAATGCTTCCTTAATATTCTTCTTACTTACCAACATAATAATCATTGTGTGTCTTAACATATAAGTCATGGCCTTGTTCTGCTTCCTTCTGGACTTCATCAAATGTCTTTTGTGGATTTATAACCTCTCCACTAGGACCCTCTGCAAGTCAACCAATATATGTTATGTAATAAACTGTTTTGGATAAAACTAATCAGCCTTCCACATTTGTTGGGATTAGGGGCATGTGCCTTAAATTTGCCCATATTACAAAAGAATCTATTAAAAATAACACAAAACAATACCGAGGTACATAAAGACCTCTATGTGTCTTTCCTGGCAATGGATTTTGACCATCATTGTGCTTCCACAAATGGCCATGACCCTTTCTATGACAATATCTTTCATCATTTCCCTGGAGTTTATATGGACTTTTCCCATTCTAAATGGTTGAAAAGCTTCCCTTAGGTTTAGCTTCTGGCAGTAAGAGCTTAAAGTGACTGTATAGTAGCAGTTTTGGCCCTAACAAACACCACAATACAGCCTTGATAAGTCTTCTGAAAATGAATTCATTCTTGAGTTGGAAGCATTTCCTCGCCCTTGTCTCATTATCTCAACTAAGATAAAGAAACTCTATCATGCAAGACATTTCTTAGTATATATTTTTTCTTATGATACTGAATAATCACATCACTGTCCCAATTGATTTCCTTACCCGTTCTCTTTGGTTCTTGCCTGTAGCTGAAAGGCAGAAAAAAGAGCAAATAAAAGCTACTGCCATTAGAAATGAAAACATTTGGGGCAGTGATTTCTTCATTCCCTTTAGCAACAGGAAATTGAGCAACTGCTGAAATGTCACATGGGCAGAGGTGAAGCATTTCTGAGTTTGCATCAACTATATCACTACTTCTGCTACAGTTATTGATTTTGAAGCTGTTCATCTATTATACGTTGGCTTTGGCTAATATGGCTTAATTGATCCAAGCTTAGACAATTGCTTTCAAAGAAGAGGCTCATATCAGAATATTGGTTTTAATTGGAACACCATCCCAGTTTGAAGAATGGCACGCTCTTAACCAATTCCGTGTAAACTTATCATCTATTTCAACACTACTTTGCCTACCTTTCAAGGTTGTTACTCCAAATGTAGTGTTATTCAAATCCAATCCTTTGGGTAATCTTAGGGCCTGGTCATGGGATTTCCCAAGGGGAGCTTCACGGCTGCTTGAATAGATAAATTCTTTCTGTTCTTTCCGTTTTTGCTGAAAGCGTGTTTTGGGAGGTGGATTTGCCACTGATGCTACCTGAAGAAATGTAATTGGAGGTGATATATCAGTTTTGCATTTCTGGGTGCTCAGTTACCTCATACATTACTTTTTTTAACCTTTGTGTGGTATATTGCCATGCCACCTACTAATTTAATTTTAAAACTAATTGAAGTACATCTTGTTACTAATGCCATCTTTATGTAATACAAGCTCCTGAAAGTAATTATAATCACATATTACTTAATTCCTATTTCTAAGAATATGGTATCTGGAAAACGTAACAGATTCTGGTATTTAAATCACAACATCTCAAAGGTGTAATAACAAAATTTCAATAGATGAACTAACTACACCTTCCAAAGTCCTAATAACAATAATCTTTCTCACTATCTATTAATATTATTAATATTTCTGTACAAGTACACTAACAGATACAAATTAATTTTGACTAATAAAAGTATTGTATCATATAGTACAACTCCCATATCTGTGGATGATATGTTCCTGAACCTACTGTAGAAACATGAAACCAAACCCTATTGAAATGAACAATCTCTGCTATAAGTTATCATAGAGTTGGAGCCTCTGGTGGTGCAATGGGTTAAACACTTGTACTGGCAGGACTGAAGACTGACAGGTCAGAGATTTGAATCTCGGGAGAGCGTGGATGAGCTCCCTCTGTCAGCTCCACCTCCCCATGTGGGGATGTGAGAGAAGCCTCCCACAAGGATGGTAAAAACATCAAAACATCCGGGCGTCCCCTGGGCAACGTCCTTGCAGACGGCCAATTCTCTCATATCAGAAGTGACTTGCAGTATCTCAAGTTGCTCCTGACACGAAAAAAAATCATAGAGTTGCCCTGGAAGACCTAGAAAATGCCTAGATGGGAAATTCTAGAATTTCCAGGGATACTCTATGTTAATTTTCAAAATAAGAATATCACCTGGGATAACCTAGAAAATTCCTAGAGACGGCACGCTTTTTTCAAATGCAGTTAGGTAAAGTCTTGCTGTACTCAAAGATGTATATAAACTGGTTTTATCTTCAGTGTTTTCTACCCATTCACAAAGAGATAAAGATAATTTTACTATAAAATTGTCACTTTTTCCATTTTCCTAAACTCTAATTAAACTACTACATTTTAGCATTTAAGCCAAATACCACATCAAATTTATCCATTCAGTCTTCCTTAGAGAAAAATGTTTTTTTCCCAGTAAGTGAAAGTAATCTTTACTATCACATACATTTTCACTGATTGTTTACTTTTGAAATAACAGATCACAAACGAAGTACAAAAAAGAAAATCATCTCCATCCCACATTGGGTCACTCAAGTAAACAAATGGTTCTTTCCAGAGAAAGAGGGTATCAAGTGCATAGGATCCAGATTCTGTTTGAAGAAGCTTGGGAAAAGTTACGTTTTTAATATATCTCACAGAAGTCCTCAGTCCTCCACTGACCATGACGCTCAAGAATAGTTGAAATTGTAGTCCCAATTGATAATATGATTCTACTTTATATCTAGTGAACACCCCCCACCCACTTCTCAGAGTTTTTCAGGATTGTTGTTTCCCAGCCATAAAATCACCAGACTTCATCCTGAGAAAAAGAAAGGCTCTGGTGTTCTTACACTTTCCGAACAGATGGATTTTATACCATGTGTCAAATGCGATGCAATATCTGGATCGTTTGCTCGGCCATAAAATATTCTCTCTCTACCTGTAGGAGGATTGCTGGTGTTTCGAAATTTTTTTACAACAGGTGGAGTTATAGGCTGTCAAATAGAAGGGACAAAAATTAGAATATGCTATTACTGTAACTATCTTTAGCTGAAGAATTATACAAAGCTCAGCCAGTCAATCAGAACAGAAAATTAATTTCACAAAAGCTTCACACATGTATTAGGTTAGGATGAAACAAATTGTCATCAGCTAGTGAACATGTTTTTAAGTTTTTGCAGAACTCTTATTTAATCTGCATGTTGAGTCATAGCTTAGGAAAGGGAAGATCACTCCCTGAATTGCCCAGCAAGTATGGCTACAAATCCAAAAAGGAACTTTTCCAAGGTCTGGCAGACACAGAAGTTTAATATTGTTGTCCCAATTCTGTGTGCAGCTTATTACTATGCTAAAACAAACTACAATACAAACTAAGCAGACATAATTAGATGAGCTTGACCAGCTACCAGACAGAATTCAGAATGCATCCAAGACTATGAGGACTAAGAAGCAAAACATGGTTGCATCACTCTTTTATTTTAAACAATGCATGCAGGCTGAAATCCTGTTGGTCATTTACAGGTATACATTTCCTTATAAATGTGGTTGGACAGCTTTGAGTACTGTATAACCAACACATTCAACTCCAGAAGTGTAAACATTTCACAAAGGTAAAAATCACATTGAGTAAAAAAAGAATGCAGCTCTTCAGAAAGTTGTTTTGTGTGAGCAGAACTATGGAAGTGTGAGATTGGGTGGCACATTTCACCTCTGCAAATGTCTACTTGAACTCATGATTTTCAAATAAGTTGTTACTGTTGCTGCAGTTGTGTGTCTTTAAGCTATTTTCAATTTATGGTAATCCTAAAAACGAATCTTTCCTGGCAAGATTTGTTTGCCCAGGATTCAGAGGGTTGCCTTTGCTTTCCCCTAAAAATGAGAGAATATGACTTGCCCAAGGTGACTCAGTAGATTTCCATGGATAAACAAGAATTTGAACCCTGGTTTCAAGAATATTGGGCCCCATCCACAAAAGACATTATAATCCGTCTTAACGATATTATGAGGTTGGGGTGTCCTGAGAATATCTCCTCCCCCACCCCCATTGCGATTTTCAATGCAAATCCACCCAGAAAGAGAGTGATAAAAAGACTCACCAGAAATCCTAATTCTAGCAATAAAAACCACAGGAACCCTAATGTGTCTAAACCAGACACAAAAAGGATCCAAATGCCAAAACAGCTGGAACAGCTGGATTAAAATGGCAGCTGCAGAGCCCAGCTGGAATAGAAAGGAAAACATTCTGATCTGGATTAATTGCCTGTGTGGAAGAGCCCACAGTTCAATGCTCAGATCACTACATCTCTTAATCAAGTAAGCCTGGATAGAAATAAAAATGGCACTTACCCGGGGATAGATGTCAGTGAGGCATGTGGCAGCCGACTCTCCGATTGGTGCCAACTTTCCTGCCTATGAAAAGTATGTAATAAACCACAAAAGCAATAAAAAAAAAGTGGTCGGGGGGGGAGGGGGGGAGAGAAAACACTGTATTTGCATACGTATAATTTTTTACTTTAATTTGCAAATACATTGTATTTCTATAGTGATAGTCTGTTTGAGGTGAAAACTCATTTTTTAGCTTTCTAGAATCTCCTCATATATCCTTCACTTACCTGCCCCATAAAGTGAGTCCTTGAGGACACTCCCAAAATCCATTTCTACTGATGCAGTGACGTGTTTCTGAGCATGTCCAGAATGCATCCCTGCCCCACAAGGTTCACAAGCTATTCCTAGACTTGGCAGATTGAGGCAGTTCTATTAATTGGGAGCTGTCAGAGAATTAGGGTTACCAGAAAGTGCTCCCATATCTTTATTGATTGTGAGAGAAAATACATTTCACCAGATGTTTCTTTATATTATCGACAACCCTTAAACTGACAGGAATTGTATACAGTTTTCCATCTGGCAACCCCACAGTTCATGGAAATTTAAAGTATTTCTCTTTAGGTCTAAAATCCCAAAAGCAGAGTTTCCAAAACTCTTGTTTTCCAGATGTTTAGGACTTCAGCCCCTACAATCCTTGAGCATTGATTAAGGCCACCTTCTGGGAGTTGAAGTCCAAAACTCCTGAAGAACTAGAGTTTGGGAATCACTGGCCTAATGGCACCAGATCCTGTCTTCTTGAAAGCTAAGCAGGGTCTGATCTTATTAGTCCTTGGACGGGAGACCACCACCATAAAACAACAGGTGCTGTAGACTCCATCTCAAAGGAAGGGTAGTGCACACGCTAGTTGGACTTCTGTAATGTGCTGTACATTGGGTTACCTCTGTACCAAGTTTGATAACTCCAATTGGTTCAAAACGTGGCAGTCAGATTGGTTACAGGAACATCTAGGATTGAGCATATGAAAGATGCTCCACTGGCTGCCAATTAGCTTGATGGCAAAGTACAAACTGTTGGTTTTGACCTATATGGTTTGGGTCCAATTACCTATAGGATCACCATCTCCTACACAATCTATCCTTTAGGACACTGAGGTCTTTTGGAGGATGCTTGCTCCAACCAGCCTGAACCTAACTGGCGAATGTCACCCAGAAGATCTTTTCATCTGCTGCCCCACAACTGTGGAATAATAATAATAATAATAATAATAATAATAATAATAATAATAATAATAAACTTTATTTGTACCCCACTACCATCTCCCCAAGGGACTCGGTGTGGCTTACATGAGGCCAAGCCCACAGCACATCAATAAACAAAAGCAATAACAAATAATCAATACAAAACAGTTAAAATAAAAACTCAAAAACAAAAATACACAACAAGCAATAAACAATAACAATAACATACAGCATTTAAAATCCTAACCTGCCAAAAGAGCTTGGACAAACTGTCAGAATTTTAAACGCAATCGAAAATCCATCTGTTCCAGCAGGCTTACCTAGTCAACTTTTAATCATGAGTTTTGATTGGCATTGAATTGTTGCCTTGTGAACCACACTGAGTCGCCTGCGGGCTGCGAGGGACAGTATACAAATGTAGCAAATAAATAAATAAATTCTGATTTACATTCTGCTGCTACTATGTGTCAAATCTGTATCTGCATTTTGATGCAAATGTATTATATATATATATATATATATTTGAGTTTTTCATCTATGTAATTTACTGTATATATTTTATGTATGTTTATATATTTTTCAATATGTTTTGTGATTTTGTTGTATCCCTCCTCAAGCCATCAGGATAGGCAGATGATGATGATGATGATTATTACTATTATTGATCGGCCAAGCCCTCTCTGAGGCAGCATCTAGGTCACGCATGGGCAAACTTTGGCCCTCCAGGTGTTTTGGACTTTAACTCCCACAATTCCTAACAGCCTAGCGGCTGTTAGGAATTGTGGGAGTTGAAGTCCAAAACACCTGGAGGGCCAAAGTTTGCCCATGCCTGATCTAGATGGTTGAATGAATGCAGTTTGACATCACCATTACTGCCATGGCTTAATGCTATGGAATCCTGGGAATTGTAGTTTGGTGCATCATCATCACCATCATCATCATATATTATTAAGTTTATTAGTTTATTTATTATTATCATAAGGAACCACTGAAGAGGAAGGGAGGAAGCCAGAGAGGGGAGCACAAACTAAACTCACTGTGGGGAACTCAGGAAAGCGGTCCACAAACTTGCCCTCGTACACTTGCCTGACGGCTCCATGCAGCCCCGGGATGGGGATCCCTCCCACCATCTCGCCGGGGAGAGACCTGCTTAGCTAAAGAGGCAGCTCAGCAGCAGCAGCAGCAGCTACAAGGGATGTTTACATCCGTTGCCTAGCAACCGGAGCGGTACCACTGATGCCTGCTTCAAACGTCACTCATCCTTTCTCCGCCCCAGATATCCACATCCCTGCTCATCTCAGTGGCCACTATTCGTTTGCAATCTGACGATCCCAGCTTCTTCCCTTTTGTGCTTGGAAATTAAAGATATAGTTACACACTTTTGATTTCCCTCGCTCAAGGCTAGGGAATTATGGGATTTGTAGTTTTGGCAGTTTGTCCCAATTTGCAGCTCACATCCTCTTTAACTGCCACTGCTCAATGCTATGACATCATGGGATTTGTAGTTTTACAAGGTCTTTAGCTTTCTCTGCCAAAGAGTGCTGGTGCCTCACTGAACTACAACTCCCAGGAGCCCAAAACCTTGAGCCATGGCAATGAATATGGTGTCAATCAGACTGCCATACTTATGCAGTGTCAATACAGCCTCAATCATGAGTGACGGGAGATATTTGATTAGAAATACCTTTGCTGTTGTTATTGTGGTGGTGGTGTGCCTTTTTCTAATCCAGTGTTTCTCAACCTGGGGGTCGGGACCCCTGAGGGGGTCACGAAGGGGTGTTGGAGGGGTCGCCAAAGACCATCAGAAAACACAGTATTTTCTGTTGGTCATGGGGGTTCTGTGTGGGAAGTTTGGCCCAATTCTATCATTGATGGGGTTCAGAATGCTCTTTGATTGTAGGTGAACTATAAATCCCAGCAACTACAACTCCCAAATGTCAAGGTCTATTTTCCCCAAACTCCACCAGTGTTCACATTTGCGCATATTGAGTATTTGTGCCAAGTTTGGTCCAGATCCACCATTGCGTGAGTCCACAGTGCTCGCTGAATATAGGTGAACTACAACTCCCACCGGGAGCCCCCGGTGCCGCAGTGGGTTAAAGCACTGAGCTGCTGAGCTTGTTGATCGAAAGGTCACAGGTTCGATTCCGGGGAGCGGCGTGAGCTTCCGCTGTCAGCCCTAGCTTCTGCCAACCTAGCAGTTCAAAACATGCAAATGTGAGTAGATCAATAGGTACCGCTCCGGTGGAAAGGTAACGGCGCTCCATGCAGTCATGCCGGCCACATGACCTTGGAGGTGTCTACGGACAACGCTGGCTCTTCGGCTTAGAAATGGAGATGAGCACCACACCCCAGAGTCAGACATGACTGGACTTAATGTCAAGGGGAAACCTTTACCTTTACCTTTTTATTGTCAAGGTCAATGCCCATCAAACCCTTCCAGTGTTTTCCATTGGTCATGGGAGCCAAGTTGGAGTTGGTGGAGTTCAGAATGGTAGAGTTCAGAATGCTCTTTGATTATAGGTGAACTATAAATCCCAGCAACTACAACTCTCAAATTACAAAATCAATCCTCCCCCAACCCCACTAGCATTTACATGTGGGTGCATTGGGTATTTGTGCCCAGTTTGGTCCAGTGAATGAAAATACATCTTGCATATCTGATATTTATATTATGATTTATAACAGTAGGAAAATGACTGTTATGACGTAGCAACAAAAACAACGTTATGGTTGGGGATCACCACAACATGAGAGACTGTATTAAAGGGGTCAGAGCATTAGGAAGGTTGAGAACCACTGTTCTAATCCACTGGGACCCTAAATGAACCAGGGAAGACATGCTACCCCTCTATTCTGTCTTGGTTAGACCACACCTGGAATATTGTGTCCAATTCTGGGCACCGCAATTGAAGAGAGATATTAACAAGTTGGAATGTGTCCAGAGGAGGGCGACTAAAATGATCAAGGGTCTGGAGAACAACTCCTATGAGGAGCGGCTTAAAGAGCTGGGCATGTTTAGCCTGAAGAAGAGAAGGCTGAGAGGAGACATGATAGACATGTATAAATATGTGAGAGGAAGGCATAGGGAGGACAGAGCAACCTTGTTTTCTGCTGTCCTGGAGACTAGGACGCGGAACAATGGCTTCAAACTACAAGAAAGGACATTCCATCTAAACATTAGGAAGAACTTCCTGACTGTGAGAGCTGTTCAGCAGTGGAACTCTCTGCCCCAAAGTGTGGTGGAGGCTTCTTCTTTGGAAGCTTTTAAACAGAGGCTGGATGGCCATCTGTCGGGGTGCTTTGAATACATTTTTCCTGCTTCTTGGCAGGGGGTTGGAATAGATAGCCCATGAGGTCTCTTCCAACTCTATGATTCTATGATTCTTGCAGGTTTTTCTGGGAATAAGTGTATGTGACTCACCCAGGGTCACACACACCCCGCCTGCACTGCCATATAATACATAATGCAGAGGAAGTTGAGTAATATTTCATGGCCCCTATCCGACTGATCACCCTGCTAGCATCCATCAATTTGTAGTGCAACTTGTCATTTATATTCTTAGATTTCATGCTCCTGTTTTTAAACAAAACTGCTCAATGTATTTGAGGAAGCCATAGTCCATTTGCGTGTTGAGGATTGTTTTTATCTGTTTCTAATTCTATTTAAATGTTAATTTAAGATGTTATTTTATGAATGTCTGCCTTGTTTTGAAAGCCACCTTGAGTCCCCTCAGGGAGAGAGAGCAGGTTAGAAATTATTATTATTATTATTATTATTATTATTAGATTATCAAAGCAGATAATCCACATTATCTGCTATGAACTGGATTACACGAGCCTACATTGCCATATAATCCAGTTCAGACCAAATATTCTGGATTTTATGCGGCAGTTTAGCCTCCGTGGACTGATATATGCTGTTTAAAATTGTTGTTTGTGTTTTATTTTTATCTGATGTTTTTTAATCGGTTAAACTGTTTTATTTGTGTGCTTTACTTGTAATTTTGGGCTTATCCCTTGTAAACCGCCCTGAGTCCCTTAGGGGAGATGGTTGGCAGTGTATAAAAATAAAGTTGTTATTGTTGTTGTTGTTGTTGTTGTTGTTATCTGCCAGCACAATTGGCTGTGAAACTTGAGTATGAGAATGCTACTGTGAAGTTTTCCTTCACAAAGTTGTCCCAAACTGCCAATTGTCCTGATTTGACAGTTACAATGCCAATTAATTTCCTGTGGCCCCACTTTTTCAGATGCTTTGTAAATGTCCCAGTTACCCTCTTCTCCTCCCATTTTTCCACTTTGTCTTCAGCAAACCAATTTCAAAATGTAAAGTAATTTGCACTCAGTACACTTCCAGACAGGCCCAATACCCCAAGATCTGATCCCAGGACTTCTGCTTTAAACTGGATTATATGAGTCCACACTGTGAGGTAATTGGGATAAACAGGAAACCTGGGATCAAATCCTGGGAAATAGGGCATGTCTGGAAGAGCCCTCTGTTAACTCAACTGGGGGAAGGGGTGGGGGGGGAGGAGGCAAAATCCTTCTCTTTCCTGTAGTCTCTGGCCTCACTAAAGGGCAACTCCCAGGATCGCACAGTATTGAGCCATAACAGTTAAAGTGGTGTCAAACTGCATTCATTCTACAGTGTAGATGCACGCCAGGATTCAAATCCCTGCTCAGCCATGAAATCCACTGTGTAGTCCCCTGGATAAACCACACTTTCTCAGTTCCAGAGGAAACCAATGGCCAATCTCTTTTGAACAAACCTTACCAAGGAAACTCTACAATAGACACATTAGAGATTGAAAACAACTTGAAGGCAACCAACAGCAGAATCCTGCTACACACATTAATGATAATTGTCAGTTGTTTTATTTCCAAGTTCTCAGCATACTGGGAATTCTGAATCAAACAAGTCATATAATAAAATATTTATCCAAAACATAAGATTTGACAAAATCTGTATGCATTTGGTCAAAGCAAAAGAAAGAAAGAAAGAAAGAAAGAAAACCCTACTCAGTCCTATATTGCTATTTAAACAAGTGAAAGGTATCTCTCTTTTAAAAAAAGGTGTATGCATGTAAGCTTGTTAAGAAAAAAAGATACATACATAATGAAGGGGAAATACTTCAAGAAAAAGATTAGAAACATATAAGAGGAAATGAGGGGAAAGGGCTAACCAAACCAGAACTGCAACAAATCATCAGTTTCATTACGTATTTCCATAATGCAACACTCTAAATTTATGGAGCACTTCAGCCCTCTTACCCCATCTGTAGTGGTAGTTATCAACTGATTTATGAATCTAACAAAGGCTATCCCTAGAATAAATTTCTTTTGATCAAGCAATCAGCTTATTCACATCCATGTCTGATCATGCTTTTCTGCAAAGCAATCCTGGTTTTATTTAATAATTCATAAACATGTACTGGGAAACTTCAATTTTCTCTCCCTCCCCCCAAATGTTTAATAGCACTAATTGTATTTTAAAATGAAAGTTAAAACATGTTCAGGGTTAGTCGATCCACTTCAATGAATTTTGATTGTACACCTTCACTATGCAAAGTAACATGAGATATTATGTACACAAAGCTAGACTCTCAAGAGATAGCAAGATTATATGCATTTGTTTAGTATATACAAATAATTATATATAGCCTCACTCCCAGCTTGCAAAGAAATGCTCCAACTTATATTGATTTACAAGTATGGAAAACCCAAGAACAGTGACATCTAAAACTTTTTAAGAGCTAGAAACCATTACAAAATACTAATATTTATCTTGATGCTGAGATATCAAGAATGATCACCCTGGAAGCAGGCCCGTAGCCAGGATTTTGTTTCGGGGGGGGGGGGGGGGGGCTGAGTCTGAGTGAAAGAGGGTCTACCCTAGCAAACCTTTTGTAACATTACCCCAATACCCCCATGCATATGGGATATATTGAGTATGGTGATCAGATCATGATATAATTAAACACAAAAATAATGTACCAGTAAGGCCTTCTCGTGGACCACCATCAGAATTTTTGGGGGGGGGGCTGAAGCCCCCCACCCCCCCCCCCAGCTACATGTCTGCCTGGAAAGGAAGGAAGGGATGTATGAACTTTTTCTAGATCAGTGTTTCTTAACCTGGGGGTCAGAACCACTGGGGGATCATGAGGGGGT